AATAAATAAATTCAATATAAATAAATAAATAAAAAAATAAATTCAATCGAATTGGATAATAAAGAAAATAGTAGATCTTACATTCGTTTATGCGATCCTTTCTTTAATTCTGGGAACGTGTAACTTTTTTTTGCACCTTCTAATATCGAGTCTCTCAGTGAAATCATAGAAAATCTTGTTGGACTCTCTTCTGGTCCTAATGGTACATCATCAGGCAAACGTGCCGAAAAGAGCCAAGTATAATAAAAGTATTGGGAAAAAAGTACCAAGTCTACTGTGCAAAAATACATTGCAAGATACATCTATAAAATAAAAAAAGAAATAATGAATACGAGACGAGAAAAAGAAGCATTGAAAGAGAAAAGTAGTCACATGATCAATTACCTGGAATGGCAATTGCTTTGTCAGTATACAACCAACAAGATTAGTCAGGTCACCCAAAAACCAATTCAGTAGAAAGTATAAACTAAGCCCGTCAGCGGACTTGTTACGGTAATTTGTTATAATTTGGCTAAAAAAAAAAAAAAAAAATTGATCAATTGACCAGAACAAGAAAGATGCCAGGTGGTAAAAAAAAGAAAAAGAAACGTACGGAAACTGAGCACATAGCCAACATGCTATGGATGCACCTCCTATAAAAACAAAGTTGGTAATATATATTAGATATATTAGAAACAAAATAAAAAAAAAACTTCTAAAGACGTTAGTTATTGCTATTTTTAACCTACCTAATATAAAGCTGATTGTTCCCTGGTTGCCATATACACAAGTACCGAATAAAAAATGTATCCAGCGTACATAAGGATAACCATCTTCTGTGGGTTCACATACAGAAAGCATTATATTGATTTTTTTATAGATAGTTTGTATAGGTAAACAAAAAAGTTCGTTTCTTTAAATCTTTAAATGATTTAAACGATTTAATTATTTAGCATTAGATTTAGAGTTAGATTTAGTATTAGATGGTTATAAAGTTTTTAAGAACGTTATATATCGTTCTTAATCGATTAGGAGAAAGGTAGAGAAACACGATTATTGAAGGTACACGTTATAAAAAAAAGTTACTAAAGAAAGGATGGTGGCCGAGGAAAATGTCATTGAAAAAAAAAGACAAAACTCGAAAAGTTGAAGGGGGGTTGGTTATTTCATAAGGTATAAATGTAAAAATATTACAGAGGAAGATAAAGCAGATACGTAAGCATCTTTGTATCCACAAAATAAAATACCGAGATAAACTTGTTACATGAATATACCGAAAAAGTTATTTATCATTATGTAATAAGAGTATATAAATAAATAGATAAAATATCACAAGCATAAATGCGCGGTTTTATTGATAGAATGTACATAACACAGTATAAAAAACATTTGCGTTAGAACCGGCTGATTACTTCGTTTATCAAACATAGTAGGGAGTTAATATATTACAGATCTATAATTGCGTAACTTATCAGATGACCAAACCATTCTCTCCCTTTGTAACCTTATGACGCTTGTATTTGCATAAGTCAATTATTATACGTACGTACAGTACGTAATTAATATAAATACTGCATATTTTTTTATATTAATTAAATATGTAAATGAATGTAAATGAAAGATATTATGTCGCACTTGAGGTCACCTGCGAAGCTGGAAAGCAAACAAACATGTAAAGAATTTTAAGGTAACAATAAAAGAATACAGTATGTTACATAACCATATTTAGTCCCAGAATTAGAATTTAGTCAGTACTACACTTCTCAACTATTTAAATGATCTTTTCTCGTCATTGACCCGTTTTTTTTGATCAGCCCTTCTTTTTAATTATTACATTACGATTATTATGTATATTATCCATTCTTGCTTGAATCATTGTTCTCGTAGATATGAATGATAATACGTATTTGAGATTTCATGATATATGCGCTGTAACTGTTATAGCAAAGATAATGCGCATACACATTCCAAAAGCATAACTAAATGTTCGTAGCAAATTCGTTATCTTAGCAATCTGAATTCGTTATCTTAATAATCTGTTTATTATATAATTTAAATGTATAAGCCAGCTATTATTCTTTTTAACAAAAGAGCAACGAAGAAAATGCTGGCACATTAATGATATGCATTTAGTCACATTTTGTGTTCGGTCACATTACTATACTATTGTTTGCCTCGTGATTCCAAAATTCTAAGATACTTTAATAGATTAGCATTGATATTGTGCAGGTTTTCGTGTAGAATATGTACTTGCAGGATTTTTTTTTTTTTGTTTTTTTTTTTTTTTTTTTTTTAAAGCATTAACATATGATGCATAACTTGAAACCTTGTTTTTTTTTTTTTTTTATTCTCTCGCTTCCTAAACCTCCTA